GATGCCACCTGCCGGATCACATAGAGCGCGAGTCAAGCTCGTTCAGTATTCCTGGTTTCGTTAGGATTCACCGCCACGACAGCATCCACGTGATTTAACCGCAACCGTAGACCGAATAACAAGGAGCTGGAGACCGTCCGGCCAATGTTGGAATTCAAGAGCCGATGCATTAACTTCCGGCACTACGTGCGATTTAAGTTCGGCAAATATCTGACAAATAGCGATATCGGAAATATCCGGGCGCGGGAATGTTTGGATGCAACAATCCAGATAAGTACTATTTATGTTATAAAAAACATGCACTTTGCGGAGAGACGCAATCAAAGAACAAGGACGTGTCCACTGTTTGCGAGATGAAAGCAATCGAGCAACGCGTTTCGTATGTTCCACCGCCGAGATGCTCGAGATGTACAGGTGCTGCAATTGGCAGCACCTTTTCAACTAGCCAACGGAAGTATTTCTTGTATCGGTTGCTTATTGTTGATGGTTGTCGTAAAGTTGTGTCCCTGTAGCTATTGGTTTCCTTTGGCGAGAGACTGAGGCTGATGTGCGAACTCTCCTCGTAAATGTTCTCAAATAAGATAGTGGCAGTTCTCACGTCAAGTGCGCCATGTCTGATGATGAGTTCATCATCATTGTCAGCTGCAAGAACCGCGTTCTTATCGCACAGTGATTGCAGCTGCCATAGTTTCGTTCACCGATGTATTGCGGAGGTGGAGTTGGCAGCTGCTCATTGGATGCGGGAGCTGGTAAATTCGTGTGTAAATACATCACTGTCAGTGGACTGTCAAGTGGGGGAATTGGGGATGCAGCTATGCACTGAAAGCAATAGCTTGGACGCAAGAGCGCCACTGAGGGTGAGACTGGGCAATGTCTGACAATGTCTCCAACGATTGATGTGGCCCGTCTCGGGGACCCCTCCAGGGAGACGGCAATGACCAGCGCAGCTGAGTTTGCCAGGAATGGCTTTTATACCTCGCTGTTAAGTCAATGCTTGGCCGCCTCTGACTCGTTTCCACTCCTCACGTGGTTGTGCGCAGAGAATTTTTTGTGCGGAATTCCGCACGGGACCCGCGTTACAGCTTGCAGTCAGGTGCTGCTACGGCCGAGAAACCCAGCCCACACGAGATCGGCCGAAAATCGGAACGCTTGCCGGTCCGGCATCAAGCCAAGATCTGATTTGTCGAAATTCTGGACCCAACAGCCAATCGTCATCTAGTATTGGCCGAATGCTGGTTGCCAATGTTGAATCCAGAACGCGTCAGAATTTCCAGAAAGTTATTTCCGCTCATGCTATATATGTGAAGCGCTGTACAAGTGTTCCTGGCTTCCTTATGGGCGCTAATAAACCTTGTGAATCTTTGGTGGTTGTTTTCACTTGAGCGCTAGCTTGGGAGGCTCAGAACCAGAACTAAGCTGAGAAAAATACCGTTACTACAGAGCCCTTCGAGGGAGTAGGTAGACTGACGTACGCAGCACGTGACCAAGCCAGTGCAACCGATGCAGATCATCTATCGAGGTTGAGTTATTTCTTCCGAATACCATTCGACGTATTTCAGCATTGCTGATCCGGTGTCCCCACCAGGCTCGGACAATGCTCCGAAGAAATCGACGGTCAGACGCAACACGCAACTCGCGTGTGTCATACGACGCTGGCCCACACGGGCCATGGTTCCAGGACAACGATTGTCGAACATATGTAGACGTGTTATTTCGACTGCTCGAACAGGCCAAGTCCCACAGCCAGTTAACATCCTGTAATATCGCCTGCTACACACATCTATTGAGATTCAGGTATATACCGCGTTGCAACCTCGTGCATTAACCCCACCTGTCAAACTACAATCAGGACTAATACAGATTCCAATGTACATACTACACTACAAATTTTTCTGCCCCTTCTTTGACTGTATGTGTCATGTTCGGTGACAGCAAGTCCAGTCGGGAATTGCTGACCATTTCATTCACTTTCTCTGTTGTATTGCAGTACTCTCCAACTCACGTAATAAATTTCAGAAAAACTAGTTCATCATCTGGGGAGTTCACTCTCATCAATATTTATGTTTGATTCCCCTATCCACGCCACCTTTCTGCGTGCTAATGCCGGTTTGCTCTAGATCTCGTGCACAACTCGTGCTTGATCGCTTGTCTACTAAGTAAAAATCTACCCCTATCTTGTCTCATGTATCTAACAGATACCAGCAACATAATTGTGGTAATAATGCACATTATCATGTGAGATGCCTTCTCAATTTCGCCAGGCTTTACTGATCCCACCCCATCTCCTCGTCTTCCTATGCTTTGACCTCCGGCAATGGTGCCCTGTTTGGCCGTTGTCCACTCCACCTGACAAATTATTTGCACCTGCAGAGATCCCTAACCGGACCAGAAATATACCTGCGATCTTACATCGGCTTCGCTCTACCTCTTGGCCCTTGGTCAACTTAAAAATCCCGCCGGCCAAATGATTGCACTTCCCAGCCCAGGGGCCTCAAATATGGCGTCCGTTAAGAAATTGACAGCATACCCGCGACTATTCCCTTCTCACTCTGGACCATACCCTCTCTTTCACTCGTTCCATTAACCACGAATACAAACATGCTTTTCATCTAGTCCCAAATACGTCCAGGACGCGTTCATTCCACTCTGATGAACCTCTTGTTTGGATTTAGCTTTGTCGGCGGACTTTCGGTCTTCGCTCCTCACAAAGTAAATATCTTTCTCTAAAGCTCGCCTTTTGGCTTGTGCATTGTCACCAGCTTAACCCTCTTACTCCTCTACAACAGCGACATCGGAGAGTCACCTAGGTCTCACTGTACACCATGATTATGTGGTTCATGATGCCATTCATCCGCATTACTGATCACTCCACTTCATCAACCCCACGTACGCTTTTTGTGACCCTGTCCATTGGTCTAAAAGTACAAAGCCGCGGGGCCACAGCAATGGTTTTGGGTTTTATTTCAGTTTAACCGGGTGAATGACGCCAACGCCGCTGCTTCATCAGCTCCGTTGTTGATTCCCAATTTTTTGCTGTTTGCCATTTTCTTGTCGTGTGTCAGCCCGGAAGCCTATTGTTTTGTCCTCCCTTGTTTTATGTTTTGTCCGCCACCTTCCAATGACATGACTGTAGATCCCCCGTGTGAATCGACGGTGAACAAGGGTAACTTTCCTTGTTTTCTGACATGTTTTTGTTGTTGTTTTCTCATGAGTAACATGACTTACACCTGTTTATTATGACACCGTTTCGTTTTCTTGCTGCTCGTTTTCCCCCCGTTTCTTTCCTACTTAAGGTCTGTTTATCCCTCAGTAACTGATGTCAATATTTTGTTGCCCGTCTGTCATTGCCTGCAAGTTCGTCTCGATTGCACCAATTTTGAGCGCCCACTCCGATGGAAAAGCGGCCGCCCCCCGAGTGTCGAACCCGGACCCTCCGGACGGCAAGCGAACGCGCTACCAACTGCACCGACCCGACGCCCGGAGCGGCTGATTATTTTGTATTACCCATATGCCGCACCTGGCAGATAGCCTTCGCCAAGATTTGTTTTAAACGGACAAAACCGCGCAATCTGACCTGTTGCGCGACACGAGCGGCTGCGTCGACTCCGACCGAAAGACAGTCCCTCACATCCCGAACGTACTGACTCCTGCGCCGTTACGGCCAACTCACACTCTCCGATTGGCCCGATATAAATCCGTGCTGTGACAGTGACTACTTCCCGCTCCTACTGATTGCGTCATTGTTGATTAACCAGTTCCTGTCAGTCTTCAATATATCATCTGTTGCCCCACGTCTGTCTGCTCCTATTGACTACTGGCTACGAATTGCGTATAATCTAATAGTCGCAATCATCCTGTGAAATCCTTAACCGTCCATATCTTGCAATGACCTTCCTCGATGTTTTCACCAGAGAAAAGCGGTAACTGTGCTTTCTTGTCCATGCAGGTTAAGGGAAGTCCACGTCTACATTGAGTGATGCCCACTGACCATGACGCTGTTCCTCTTCTACGCAATCCCATTTACCCACGGCCCCCGCTATTCGTGCTTTTATTCTGACTGTAACAGTGTGCCAATGCCAGACGTTATGCCACCGGTCAGTTGAGAATACACATTATCGTTATTATTATTATTGTGGATTTCCTGAATTAAGGGCCGAGCTCATAATCCATAGCGGTGGGCAAAGCGGGGGTGCCATTGGAGGGTTGATCTTTTGCGAGCCTACCGTAGTACAATGCAACAGAACTACCCTCCCTTCAAGGCGTACCCGACCACAAGAACCCTTCATCCCTCATGCAACTTGGCAGATCTGCGGAGTAGTATACTAACAATCGGTCAAAATTTTGGCATGTACAATAACGAAGAACTCTAGCGACTGAAAATTTATGCGGCCGAGGGAAAGCAGGCCAATAAAACACCTCAGTCTATCTGAACACGTATAAATCCCCTGCAAAAGCCAAGTTGCGGAGGCAACTTAGGCGACATTTAATAGTGAGCCAGTGTAAGCAGAATGAAGATATATAAAGCGTGTGCACTATAACTAAGCGGTGATGAAGTGTTGCTCTGAGTAATCATATCAACGATAAGCCCACTTTGCTTTTACGCGTTTTACGGTTTTGGAGCTGCACAAGAATTTCATCTTTTCAGAATCTCCAAAAGGCTGCCTCTCTGTGAGTTCATCCTGCAAGGAATGCAACGCGCGAAGAGTGAATCACGATCCCCAAATGAAGGAAACATATGATGAGCACTCAATATGTCGAAAGAAAAATACCAACTGACTTTGCATCCACATATCGACTGTATAAGTGCCCGGAGATCACGAAAGGCGATGCAGAAAAACTGCGCAACGAGCCGATCTCGATTACCTGCCTGCACCCAAATTACACGTGTAGGTGGCTTGTTCCTCCAAAATAAGAATGTATTTTTACTAGATACGGTTATGTGAGTGCATGTCGGATAATACAGTTTGGGCCCAAAGGACGCAGCTTGTCACATCTCCACACTAACTAATAAATTGGGGCATGTAGTCCATATGCACCATCCGATGGAAACCGAGAACAATTTCTGTAGCTTGATTCAGAACCTGAAAATTATAAGTGTGTAAACGGTACGCTTTCCAAAGTGTTCATTACATCGTTACCAAGAGGAATGCCCTCAGCCACGGGGCATTTGTCTACTTAAAAGAATCCGCTGTTCTGTTTCCTCATTTTCCGCTGTTTGCAGGTTTACTGTCGCGCGTCCGGCGGGAGGACTTTTTTGCCCTCCATCTTTTTGCTTTCACCCGGCACCTCCGAATCCTAACGTCTACATCGGGTTATATCCACAGTTCACGATACTGTCTCGTTTTCGTGCAATCCCCTGGACCCAGAAAACTCGCCCTTACAATGTGCTCCTGCCTGACGGTAAGCCATCCACCAGTTTAGAATTAACATTACTATTATTAATTCCAGTATGGGCATACACTCATGATGAAAGTATGAAGCCGACGTGCCCAGATAAGTGCACGTGTTTATGATCGTAGGGCAAGTGTCTCTAAGCAGGCTAACACAAGGTTGGCAAAAACTTAAGTCAAGGTCAGAAGGCGCGATATCTCAGTCGAAGTTCCTCCTTTGTCCCGGGTTACTGGAAATTATCATCCCCCTTATCCATCCACTGGCTGTTCCCCACACGTCTACTTCCAGATTGCTGTTTTGCTCACCCATCGACTACATATCACTTGCTTCATGTCCAACAGTGCGCCTAGTGAAATAAACAAAGCGCAGGTATTACAAGCCCAGGTTTTTTACTTTTACTACTTTTGGTGTCAGAACGCTCCCAGATATTTGTTCATGTACATTTAATGCGCCGATGATATTATTCTCTTTTTAGTAGACCCATTAGAAATATCAGCTGATTTTGATAAACTCAATGATTTTGGTGTATGCTCTGCACTCATAAAATGAGAAGCACAGCCACAAATTCGGTAAGCTGGACTCAAGCGTGCTGATAAACCGATCGAAATGGTGGATATTCTTTTCTATATGTGACATCGCCATGACTATCACAGATATGGTGTGAAAAAGTGCAGTGGCATACGTCCTACTCCACGGACTTAAGTGTGTGTGCCCCTTGCGGAAGAACCCCGAAGTCTTCATGTTTAACCCTCGTTGCCCACAAGCATCGATCCAGTGTGATACGAGCAATGGATCAGTGACGCCGAAGAACATCGGGTTCCAAGCAAGCCCCTTCTCCACAGAAAGATCGGCTGGACATACCATTCGCATGATGTACTCGCCAGACCACGTGCTTTGCGTGCTAGAGTACAGTTTGTCCCGTAGAGCAAGTCACCTTGATAAAGACTTTGGCAGATGAGTGTAATAAATTTATGATTCAAGAACGGAGCATGGGAGCTACTTCAATTCCGCATAGCCGCGTTAGTACCCGCCATCTTTCCGGTTCGGAGCCGCGGGATGAGAAAACGAATTATTAGTGACCCGGACATTTTTGTTGTGGAACGCGGCCAGTAGCAGTCATCCAGCAAGGCTATCGGCCTTGCCCACCAGCTCTCCGCCCAATACCACACTGGACAAGTCGAGTCATTCGGCATCGATGAAGTGACTGTTTTGCTGTCTCCAAAGATTCGCATTTATTACTTCATTCTCACTCTATCCAGAAATCGGAGATGTATCCACTGGGAACACAACACTAGGGCACACAGTCGTATGATGGGTGGCAATATAGTGCAATTTTTGTCCGAATCGGACGGTTGAGAAGTTTTCGGAATTACTCGTGGTCTCGCAATCTTACTCAAATGAAAACAACAAAACAACCATGACACTCAACGACCACATTTGCCTCAGCACAATGGTGACACTTTTGTATCGCGGTTCCAAACTAATTTCTTCTCCATTTGCTTACTGAAAAATTAAAGTGGCGTGTATACTGAGACACATGTTTCACTCCTTGATAGTGACGCGTGATTGATCAGACGATGCTCGCACCCTTCGTCATCATGAAAGTATACGGCCGTTTAGCCACATCAACCAGCCTAGTACAGTTAACACCAAAAAGTTTCACAAAAACCTTATTCCGCTCTGCCATGTCCTCATCACATAATGTTGCCGACACTCTCTATGAAGGACAGAGGTGAACTCCAAAAATGCTCGTGGAAAGCCTACCACGCGCTTGGTGCTCAAACGTCCCCGCTTAAAGCGCGATCCACTGCACCACATCCTTGTTACGTGACTAGTTCAGGTGACTGCGTCCTACAGCAATAAAACAGGTGACAAGTCCCCTAGTATAGTTGAAATATTTTTTCTTTTACCACTGCACCACATCCTTGTTACGTGACTAATTAAGGTGACTGCGTCCTACAGCAACAAAACAGGTGACAAAGTCCCCTAGTATAGTTGGAATATTTTTCTTTTGTAAGACAAGTAGGCGTAAAGATTTTCCCTAAATTTGAAAAGGGAGCATTTATCTTACTGAACGGATGCCATCTGCATTTTCCTCGAACTGAAACTCTCTAGAGGTCTCAACTGAGGGATGCTGCTTTCAACGAAAGTGGAGAAAATGAACAGAAAATCTAGCCATAGTCCCAAACTACTTGGGAAAATCATTGGCGTGAAATGAATATTTCTAAACACTGGAATTACATAAAATGACGCGGTTTACTTGTGTGAGTGCCAGAACATGTAGCAGCTTGGCAATAAAACTCAGTTGGAAATCAATGCGTGTTGGAGATTTTCCCTCGGAGGAATAGCACTCGCGGAACTAACATTTCTGTAGCACGGATTTATAGCACATTGCCACGGTTTTATGGGCCAACAAGTCTTTAGGCGATACTTGGAAGGAATAAAAACGTTAATAATATTCTTCGAGTTGACAAGGGTTCCAGCAATAATGATAATGTGTACTCCCAACTAGTGGGTGGCAAACCGTTGATCGTGATCATACTCTCTCAGTCACAATAAAAGCACAATTGATGGGATTTGAGGGTACTGAGGATTACGATGAAAATAGACGGTGTTATAAATAGTGTGCATATCAAGCTGAAACAAAATCAGATCGTTAGAATTCCAGGGCGGCGGGAAACAACAGAATGAGGGGAGGCAAAACAAGAGTCCTCCCGTCTAGCGCGTAATAAAAAATTCAAATCGCGAAAACTGAGGATCAAAACAACGGAACTTCCACGGAGATCAGTGCTCACAAAAATTAAGTCGGTCCTAATTTCACTCGGAACGTTCTTTCTGATGTGAACGTCTTTATCCAGCGTAGAATTCCCCCTTAAATCCCATAAGATGCAAGTGTTTGATGCAGCGAGATGTGTGAAATTTGATCAAATGTTCTGAAGAGTTGAAAAATATGGCAGCGGTTATAAGTCCCTCGTCCTTAACATGGGTCACGCTGTCCATGAATACAAGCATGTCGGTCACACAAGAACGGTTTGGGAGAAATTCTTATTGAACCGGGGATATAAAGTTATTGATAATAAGTTGATTTAGGGTGGATTACTTCGGAATGCGTTTCATCACCTTGAACGGTGCACCAGTGAAGCCAGTAGGCATGAAGCTGCCGGGCGATATTTGGCCACCAATAAGTTAATTTACGTAACAGCCGCTTCATTCCAATCAGAAGTAAGGTTTATGGTGGGGTCACAAATGGCTTAAATGGGGATGATGAAGTGGAGAAAGCAGCAACACGGAGAGCTGGCAATGGTGTACGGTTAAACTGTATGGAAGCTCTTGTATCGCTTTTGGTGTGGAGTTGGAGGCAAATGTTCCCTGGGGTAAGGAGTCATGTAAACACAAAAGATCAAACGTGAACTGCACAGAAAACGACAAATTTTTAAATTAATACTCAAATCAAACAGAATTATAGTGGTCCTGCTGGACGGGATTCAGAGATTCTTTCTCTTGAAGATTTCTGGCCAAAATGCGCTGCGGCTCGCCCCGGTTCATTGGTGACAGTGGAATACCCGGTGGCTTCTTTAATGGTACCATTAATTTCCAACATACACGAGCAATTTTCCACTATCGCTGGCTGTGGTTTCCCCTTCGTCAATGTTCTCAAACCTTGTAAGGCCGACGCCAGGGGGCTTCAAACTGGATTTTATTGGCTTAAAGCTGATTGTTTGACCAGAATCTGACGAGGCGAATAGTGTGTGCTTATCTTGTTTTGTGGATAGTGAAATACGGTTTCTTGGATACTTGTTAGCGCTGGCCATTGAAAACTTTCCTGCTTGGCACAAAAATGACTCATTCGCTAGGTTTGCTTTGCTCTACGAATTTGTACACAAATGGTAAACCGTTTTGCAAACGATCAATATCCCATCTCATCAATACCTCCCCACGGATTTCGAGATAATTGGCAACGTTTGCGTTGAATATTCTCTGGAATACGTCGGGTGAGACCTCTAGCCTGGATACAAAAGAACCATTACTGAGCTGAACTTGCCCGATGAATGAATATGACATTTTCCCGATGTTCTATGGCATATATCTAGGCCAAACGAAATCTGCCCAGCTGGTTGCAGATGTCTTGTTGGACCTTAACTAACCATTTAAGGCATTGGTTTACCTGACTCATGCATTCACTCTAAAGATGGCAGGTGGTGTACGTTAACAGTGAGTGCTCACTCATCTGCAGGACAGCCCCCTTTACTATGCGCTTCATAAGCGTTTGAACCTCCTGTCCCAGTGCAGCGAAAACCGGTTTAGATTACGGGTTTACATTTTAAAGCTCATAAGGCCGCTGCGAATTTATGAGTCACATTCCTTCAAGAGAATATTCCACGATATCTTAAGCTTCGTACAAGATATGGCGTGACGCGGTGTCGTGCCGAACATTTTGTCCGAGGTTATCAGAACAGGAGGTCCAGACGGGATTCAGCGAAGCCTTCCGTTAAAATCAAGTAGGTGCACAAATGAACGCAGTATGAAGGTTTAAGACACTTTTGAATAGACGACACAGTTCACCCAAGTTCACTGAAAACTCACCGGAAATCGTAGATGGAGACAAGTACAGCTAAGCGCGTTTATCGACACAAGACTGACAGTTGCCGATGAGCCAATTTTCTTGTTTCTCTTCAACTGAAGAATGGTTGTGCTCTCAGACCGATAAGTTGGACCAACCGCCGCGCAGCTGTGCAGAAGTCAGTGATTCAAAAGGCACGGCACCTTAAGAAGACCCTTACCGGATGCAAAAGAAAAGTGCCATATTTGTATGTATGCAAAATCAGCCGAATGTGAGGCTAGAACTCGTGATCATGCCTGAATCGGCATGTTTCCCACAGGTTGGGAAATAAACCTGTCATTGTTGTTGACCTTAAAGACACACCTTAAATCGTTCTGAAAGCATAGGTCTACCGAAGCGAGCTTTCACATAAAGGTTCAGCGTTGGACGGCATTTGCTCTGTAGGACGAAGTCCCCTCAGAGAGTAGAGGTTTTCCTAAAAATTTGTTTGGTCTTACGCAGTGCCTACTTTAGGCTCAAACTTTGTGTTTTTAATGCTGACGGCATGCAACCCACCAGTTGGAATAAATATTAGTAATAATAATAAGGTTTATTCCCAACTTGTGGGTGGCATACCGTCTGGCATGATCCTAGCTCAGCATGACGTCTCCATGACGTCTGTAAGAGATTCTGTGGAGAAATATGCTTACTCACCTGCTTTTCCCTGTACTGACTTTGAAAGTCGTTCGTTGTAGCATATAAGCGACAATTATGCCCTCCATGTCGGCGCCAAGTCAAAATGGGACAGCCTTTCGAGGCCTCTATAGGAAAGTCTTCCGCCGCTGAAACAGTCGCCCCTCTAAGAAAGGCAAAGTAATTCGTTGAGGTCAGTAAGTTTGGTGGATTTTCCACATAATAGTCAGCGTGTAGTGTGCTGGTTTTGTGGCGGGGTACTTTCCGCGCCTATATGTTGAGACTCTGATATTGTTATGGAGAGGATTATTTTGTCTGCGGTCAGCAAGAGCAGAAAGTACGATGAGGCAGCCGAGACTTTGCGTTTCTGGCAAAATAACCCGGACTGAGGTGGTTTTTTGGCATACGTAAAACGCCCAACATAACCATCCACTTAGGAGTCTCCAGCGGCAAAAAATATGCTGGTTAGTTAGACCGCGTCTATTTTTCGTGTCAAATCGAAGTGTGATATAGAGAGGTGGCGAACCCTTTCACGTAGCACACGGATGTGAGCGATACTATGAATAGTCCGGGGATGAGGACCGCGTGACTTTCAATGTGCCCGGTTGGGGACGCTGAGGGATAAGATGGCTCAGCGGTATTATTGACATTATTGTTGCCACTTTCTTTCCAAATTACCTGAATGAGTGTCTAGAGGTATAGGTGCTTCGGAACGATCGTGTCAAGCTGGCGCTAAATCCCTTTTCCATCTACTTTTTTGCTCCATATCAACGCCTTTAAACAAATAATTTTTGTTGAAGACTGACGTCGTGCTATCGATAGTGATGATGAGATAGTTTGAACTACGGGAAAGCCATTTGATTGAATATGACGATCGAGGTGGAGTCGTCGCAACGTCCTAAACTTGTTCACTGACCCCACCATGCGTGAACCTCTTGGGTGTGTCAGGTTTATTCGCCGGGGCTTGAAAAAAACGCCATAAATTGGGACCAGCATGGACCACGTTCGTTCTTGGTTCTTCGGGGGACGCAGCCTGGTTTATTTCTATCGCCCAAAAAAAGTAATAGAGCGACCGTATTTAAATTGACAACCCGAAAGGGAAGTGTCAAAAAGATTTGCTTTGGGGCACTGGGGTATAATTTAGACCGAGTTCGGAAATAACAGCCTGCTAAAAGTGACTGTAATCTGTGACTGCACTGAAGAGGACAAACTATCCGACTGCAAATAACGATAATCTGCATGCAGGCGGAGATAGCGAGCAATGGTATTACGCCGTCGATGAAGGCGGGTGTGGTCACACGTCAGTATGAGGGATGTGGATCAGCCAAGTAATGCATCGCTAAATTTGTGGGTAGTTGTGAAATGAGGCTAGGCATGGGGTTGGGCGGAAAGGGCAGAGGAGTGACTACATGGTTCCCACAACTGTGGCTGAAGTGTACGACTTCGTAATCAGCTCATGTTGTTAGGCGGTGAGCATTATTTTTGTGGGATTATTTTACATTAGAGATTGCTAAGCCAGAAGAGATGGCTCGAGATTCATCAAGACAGCTTTTGGAAAAATCCGGTAACGCTTAATTAGGGAGCAGATGAGGGAGCTGCAGACAAAGACTAGCTAGCTTTACATGCCACAATGAAAGGTAGCATACAGACTAGTTATATTCATTGCTTTCTGGTACTGCGTGCTGCTCTATAAAGGGCTACCTGATGCTGGAAGTTTGGTAGGTCAGAAGACCCAATAGTTGGAAGCATACAGGGGGATGGGGTCGGATAAAAATGTTAGGTGCATGGTTGAGCCGCATGCATGAGCTGAACTAGGCGTAGCACATTACCGTCTACAGAGGAATTCATAGGAGTTGCAAAATAAATTGCTTCACAGGCGTCACACCACGGGCATTTAGTGATTCTCTGTCAACTATCACATCACATGGCATTTTTTACCTTGATTTGCACGGTGTTACAAGTGAACAACTGCATTTATTATTAATATCTTGCATTACAAAAGAAAACCTATGTAAGCGACACAGGCAACATTTTTGTTTTAATCACTGCAGAATGTGGAACATGAGTTGACGAGGGCTTTTTGGAGGAGGATATACATTTTAAAGGATAGTCGTCAAACATGCATTTCTTCCCATCCTTATTGACATGATGCGCGGGTGGGATGGACGTGATATGAAAAGAGTTGATGAATGTCTGGAACAGAGTAGCAATCAAAATGACTGATCAGCTAGGACAAATGTGGGCGGGCAATAAGGCACATTAAGAGGATGGGTTATGTTTTTGGTTTGGGGGGTCCATCCGCCGCTGAGAGGACCAAACTTGCTTGACAAAATTAAGGCAATATAGGTTTCCTTTTATACAAGTTGAAGGATATTTGTTCCTTGGGCACCTGAAATTTGCTTTGCGATCATCATTGCGACCATCATCGGGGACAAGTGGCATCGAGAGTGGCATTCTGTTGCTTATGTGTTCAGACAGTTGAGATTGCGGGGTAAAAAAAGGTTAAATACTTCGGGAGGGACGATGACAAACCCGCACCTCAGATATAGAGAAGAGCTTTCTGGTAGCCTGAAGTTCAAGCAGCTTTCACCACTTTGGCGCGTCTGAGATGTGGAAGCTTTTTTTGGTTAATGCCGGATGCCGAAGAGCACAAGAGTTGTTTACAAACGCAAGAACCGGAACTGATAGGCGATTTACAACAACGAATCACCTAGTTGATGCTAATGCTATCGTGTAAGAGCATGGGACGATCACGAATTTTGAAGTGGACGTCAGAACCGTTACTTATATTGAGCCTTGTGTATGTGTCAGGAAGCGGTAGTATGGTTGTGTTGTGTTTCGGAGCTCTAAAGTAGTAAATCTGACGGCGAGCATCTATCTGCTCAAGGCTAAATACAGGGATAAATTACGTAAGTTTGGTGGTATCCTTGAATTTGAGATTTCATGCCTACGCCACTGTACATTATGGCTTCCCGATGCATATTCTCGGGGTATGCTCGAGTACGCCTGTTGTTGTTTAATCATATGGTAGCTGATTTGTTTGCCGATCCACTCAAATGCGCACTGACGATATCTCCTCGACATAAGACGGAAGATTTGCAGACCAAATATCAAGCTCGCCGAACAGATCAACTACCAGTTGACCAACCAACACTTGTAAACAATCCTTTAATAATAATAATAATAATAATAATAATAATAATAATAATAATAATGTTTATTCCCAACTTGTGGGTGGCATACCGTCGGGCAT